AACTTACCGCCGTTTTGCAACTTTGAGCTATGAACTTGACTTTGGAGAGTGATTCTATGATTCTATGTGATCTATGTGACTTGGCTGGAGCATGCGGATCAGGTTGGGCCAAGCTGATCTGAGCCAGAGTGGAGACAGTCGCCAGAGTGCAGAGAAAGTTTTGCCGCCTTGATTCTGGATTAATCTGGATTATGTAGATGTGCAATGAGTGTGTGTGTGTGTGTATTTTCTGTATTGGCAGAAACCACTTCACTGTGCTGATGTTCACTGTTTTCTGGTATGTTAGTGTGATTTTTGTGTGCCATTTGCAATACATTTGTCGTGGCTGCCAGAAGATGCTTTTATATGCTGTGGTTAATTAGTTTCAATTTATTTTACATTTATTTTACAACAGTTATTGAATGGATTTGCCCTAGCTAGTCCACACACAATAGAATGATTTGCCTGCAAGATTAAATGTAAAGTTGGTCGAAGAGAATGATCTTAAGTTTTTTTGCTATACTTTCCAGTTTTAAGGATGAAAGCGACCTAAACGGGCTGCATGTTTCTACTGTAATATGGCCTTCGTCGCCACATGAGCCATGCAGGGCGAGGCTGTTTCAAGAGTTTGTATTATCAAATGCTTTCCTAACAGCATGTATATACTTGTAGACTATGACAACAAACAAACTGCTACTAATTATGGCTATTAACTTTCAAGAAGCGAGGTCTACGCATAATTGAAATCTTCAGTCTCAGACGGTCGAAGAAGGTTGATTGGGGATGTTGGCTTCCAAAATCAGCGCGCGCAGTCACAAGAATCTCAAGTGACTCAAGTGATTTGCTCACGTGTCGCGCAGGCCGCTGCTGGGTATCTTGAGCAGCAGCTGAAGGCGCCAAGAAGCCGCCCATTGAGGTAAAAACATTAGACTCATTTAGACACCCCAAAAATATTCAAAACCTGGTTCCTGTATGTTCCTCTTTTGTTTCCGTGGATTCACTTTCTATGAGCTCGAGCACTGTCGAGCACTTGCTTTCTGGATTGTGGGTACATCTCCAGTGTGAGACTGATCAGTTGTGGAGAGCGGCCAAGAGAACAAGTTGCACTGCAGTGAAATGGTTGGGCGATAAGGGGGCTGAAGTGGTTCAAAAGGTACGTAACGCAACCCTCGCATCAGCAACAAGCAACTGTTGCATCCACGACCGACTGGCGGAGATGAAGAGGGTGGGAGGCGATGCTTGTGGGGAGGGGATGATAGAGCAAAAGGTGACTGATGCTCCATGTTGTGTACCTCCAATATTCTCTCATGGACTTATATCGCTGTTCAGTGTTCAGTTTTCAACTTGCTGAAGACCGGGGTGGCCGCTGAGTAGCCTGTGTCACGAAATGCAGTGGTACCGCGTGCGTCGTGCGTCGTAGCTCCTTCAGACTTGGCGGCAGAGCTTTGAGGCCCGCAAGGCTCGGCAGTGACAACCTTGAGCGAAGAAAGGTTTTGTGACATGACGTTTGATTCAAACCTTCACTCTGTGTTAATTCACAGGCTTTGTTCTGAATCATGAGGCTGCACGACTTGGATCAGAACGATGGCATTTTGGATGCATTCTGCCAGCTTCTGGTGCATCAAAACAGCGTACTAAGCATACAAAGGCTGGTGCTCCAAATATATATAGATTGATTAGCCTTTGAGTCCAGTGAAACAACTTGAAACAACGATTAAAACCAAGAACTACTGTTCATGAGGACGAAAATGGATTCCATCCGGATTCTATTTTCTGTGCGCATTTTGCATGTTTCACATTGACATGTGTCCCGGCTGTGGAAGCTGTGTGCAACATGGGGTGCAGCTGCACAACTTGAACGTCAACTTGTCCACTCAGAAGCCTCGCTGCACTGGTTCACCAAAGAAGTGAGCACGTGCATTGGCTTTCGGAATGTCACAATATTACAGGATATTGCAGGTGCTCACTGGTGCTCACGCTCCCTGAGTTTTCTATGGTCGAGTCATGTCAAGTGAATCTCACGCGCTCACGGAGGCAAGAGAATGGCGCTCAAAGTGTGGCGCAGACGCCACAGAGGGAGCTATCAGGCAAGGTCTCATTGAGCACTGTGTTTGAGGGCAAGCAGCTTGCGGCAAGCAAGTTTCACATGAGCGAGGCAATGTGTACACTCCGTTCTCATCCGTGAGAAGCGGTAGAAGTGCCACGCTGCCCTGTTTGGACTGCACACGCTAGCCACTAGCCATTTATGTCAATGCTTGAGCAAACCTCTGCAAGTGTTTCTTGTTTAGTAATTACTGTATGTTCTCAGTAGAGTTCCTGTCCAGCTATGATTCTGAAGCAGACAAGTGTGCCAACAGTAGTTTCTGAAGTGCGACAGTATCACAAGGCTAGGGCTGGCTGCGGCATTTTGGCTCCGGATCTTCAGTCATAGTTCGTAGGTAGGGGTCAGGATGAGAAACTCCCTCAAGACTCCTCGATACATTTTGCAATTCAGGGTTAGGGAGGTCGGTAAGAAACAGTGCCAGAGATTTCATCCATATTGGACCGATAAGTCATGCATCCGAAAATATCATAAAATATCCGATAGATTCCTCGGATGGCATGATGGCACAAAATGAAAACAATAAACGATAGGACCGATTGGATCATATAGGATCCATGAAGGCATTGGTTCACTTTCAATAGAATCCAAGACTTCAGAACTATGGGTGCTGTGTGCACCACGTTCTGGTCACTCTGCCAAGGCACTGACAGTTAATCGTGTTTGAATGAGTTTGAGTTGGTTTTCCATGTGTGGCTTGAAGTGTTTGCCATGAGAGCGAGCGAATTGTTTGACGAAACAAAAGCAGCGACTCGTGCGGGTGTGAGTGAAGGCGCTGAAGCCAGCGCGTCGTGGAGTTCAAAGTCCAATGCGTATGTCATTGAGGAGGGTGTTTGTCATGTTGTTTCGCTTTCAATCGACGCATCAAGCCAACAAGCATCCACAAGCCACCTGGTCAAGCTTTTTTGTTGGACATGATATGATGATTTGGCTACACGATGCATACTTGCTCCCAGATCTTGCTTTCAGGGCAACGCGTCAGAATGCAGAATGCTGTAAGTCCTGCATGGTGGAAGCATATCACCTGTAGGAACGGAACGTTGGAAGCATAATTCTGAAGAACGTTGGAATCTTCATGAAGATATATCGTTTTGGTCTGTTTTGAGGAGAAGATGCCCTTCCACAATCCGGAGCACTCCTGCCCAACCAAGCGAGAGGTCGTTGAATTGTTCTTTGTGTGGCTTCATTTGTGGCCGGGTGAAGTCATGTGGTCATTTCAATTAATTTCACACGATTGCTTCTCGTCTCACAAAACCCAGCAAAATACAAACAGCCGCATCACGCAGTTCTATCCAAGGTCAAGCTACACACCTGCCTACATAGTTATCGTAACTAGCACACGCATGGAATGATATCCTGCCATATCCTGCCTATCTTGGTCACTACTCAATCTGGAAGATGTGTAAGATGATGAACAGGCCCTTGTCAAGGTACGTTACAGCAGCCCTTGCTTGTACCACATTGTCACATTATAGTTATATATGTAGTCATTTTGGCCGTTGTCAGGTTGACTGGCCTTTGCTGAAGGCTGGGACTTGGGTGCTTTGAGAGCAAGGCAGCTGTTGCATAACGGGGCGTGTTGTTGACGTCAGGCGCAGCTTGAGGTACACAAAAGTACTGTGACGTTGACTCTATGTCAGTCTCATCATTGGCATGCAATCTTGTCATGTCCAACCAGGCTGAACTCCAGTACTATGCTGATCAGCCGTCCTGGCAGCGGCGGATTTTTATCTCTGAAGATGCCAAGTTTGAGTGGAGGTGGCATGACCCTAGCAGCAACATGTTCAGAAACTGTTAACTGGTTGAGCACAGATGAAGCCCAAATTTTCTTACGGCGGATATTGAGTGAAACTTTGTTTTGGCAAAGCTGTGTCAGGATTTGGGTGTCTCGAGTCTATGTGTCGAATGTGGCTTGGCGCAATTGGTCATTCTGTCGGGACACAGAAGTTCACAAATCACACGGGCCAGGAATACTAAGAATACTAAGAACAAGAAGCTACTAGGTGGAGGCAACCTTCCTTCCTTTGTGCAATCAGAGAACAATTCAGCAGGTGCACACAGCACTAGGGAAGTCTGTTTGAATCCTCACTGTGGCAAAGTCGAGACCAAAATGCAAAGGGATGAAAGGAGAATGCACAATCATGCACATAGACATAAACACAGCAAAGGTGTTGGAAATCCAGTGACCACGAATTTGGTTCTGGGGGGTGAGCATCAATCTTGGAAAGCAAAAACGTGGCTTCAGGCTCGACATCCCAACAAATAGACTGGTTGCAGATTAAATATGATTAAGAATAAAGGATGTCAATTACCTTTTGAATCAAATCCTTCACTGAAGCTCAAGGATGTGGATTTTTGTCCGCTGGGGCTACAAACTGTCCACCTGGCGGATCCAGGCTGCATTGAGAGAGAGAGAGGGGGAGAGAACTTGCGTCATGTTGCAGGATATCATGTAGAACATGTTGTGTGGATTATGTATTGTGTATTTGTATATATATATACACATATTGCAACAGCATCCACCACGGATAGAAAGCATATTTCGATTAGAGAGTGCAGTTGAACGTAGTAGCAAGTGCTGTTCATTCAAGGATGTTGATCGGCGCTTGAACGAGTTTGATGTGGCAGCTCTTGCAGAAGTATTTGAGGCTCATTATATGTACCTTGACAAATCCACAGGGCGAGCAAAACTTCAATGGCCTGCAAAAACTGTTTCTGTTGATGGAGCTTGTTATTGCTAATTGTGAAGCATGTTAGTTGAATGGGCACCGAGTCCCCACATACGTTATATAATCAAGTGGTGTTTCTGGCTTTCTGATGGTCCATCATCCTTGAGCCTTTTGAGTCTACACTTTGGTTGAATGAACAAACGGTGAGTCACATTCTGCAGAATTTTGAAATAGGAACAGACTGTGCTCGTTTTGGACCAGGTATAAAGTTCGTGTCAGAACGAATCCATCGGCCGGTCATATTCCAAATGCGCAATCGGGGCATTTCCATCATGCAGCTGCATTGCAGCATCGAAGGTCGAAGTGTTTCACTCACCTCCTAGACCCGGAACAGCGGTGGCTGAGGCAGTACACAACACGGATTCCTTTCTTGCTCACCATCCTCTCCGGTTGGCCGTTGTTTCGGATTTATAGTGGCCTTGTGGATGCTGCAACCTGGCTGAGTTGTAAACAGTTGTAAACAGCGGCTCGGCTCCAAGCATTTCAAACAAGTGCATCAAAAATCGAGGCTGTGCCAGCATGAATGCAAGCAACGACCTAAATTGGTCTGTGCACAAATCTTTATGTGAGAGGAACTATTTCATTGAAATCATCCAAAAACCTGTAAAGCGATGCAGTGAACCCCCAAAGCGATACCCCTGGATGATCAAAATGTGATCTAGATGAGCGGATCCCTTTTCGTATCATGTTCGTATCATGTTCACAGTGCCTGTGGAGTCTGACACAGATGATGAGCTCTAGAACAAGAACCGCAATGAAGGGGGAAGGAAGTGCTATGGTGTCAATGGAAAACCACCTCTATTTCTTTCTTGTGTTCTTTCTTTTTTGTTTATGTATGTTTGTGCACTTCACTTTGGCTATGTTTTCAAGAGAAATCCTCAATAAATATGACAAAGGCATCCGACACTGTAAAGCGATATAGCGAACCCCCAAAAACGATACCAACATATGGAGTTTACCAAAATTGATGATCGGTTTTGGCAATCACTCATGTGTTTAAAGCATATCTTAATTTGCATATGAAGTTTGCATGAGGCCAGGGCAAAGCCCGACTTTCCGCACCTGCCTAGCAAGGGCATTTGTGGAGGAGCGGTGCGCTTCTTACTGGGTTGAGCAGTGTTTGCTTGACATGTTTGTTAAAGCCGGCTGTCCGCTAGCTAGATATTTGGCTGGAGTTTGCTTTTCTTTCAAACGGTAAGTGTTCGGAGAAATGGAAAGGGGATTGTACGTCCAATCCTGGAATCGTTCGTGCACTGGGCTTGTGGGCAAGTTTGTTCCAAGTGAATTGTCAAGCTGCAGGGCTTTGTTGGAAGAGGTTCAAACGAACCTTCGCACACATGTTCAATGACGGAAGTCAAAGCCTATCACCAAAGAGTCAGGGACAACGAACCTTCGTGATACCACAAAACGGCATCGAAACAATACACACCAGGCTGCATTTTTGCACAGTCGCGTTGAGGTTTTTAATGAAGCAGCCAAGGTTCGCAGCTTGAGTTACCAGAAGTTATATTATATATATATATACCCTCTTAAAGATTTCAGGATTCAGCCACAGAAAGGTCTCACACAGCGCATCATGTTACAACAATTGAGACTTGGTGACACAATGCACTCACAGTGCGCAGGATTCCGCAACTGGCATTCCACAACTGGGAGTCCGCAACTAGGATTCCGCAACTGGATTCCGCAATTTTGTGGACTCCACAACTGAGATTCCGCAACAGTTCGAGCAGCAACCACAGGCCACACCAAGCATCCAAGCAAAAGCAAAAGCAGGGGTGGATGGGTGGATGGGCGGATGGGTGGATGGATGGATGAATGGATGGATGGGTGGGTGGATTGATGGGTTGGGGGACAGTTCCAAACATTTGCATTGCAAACCAGACCACATCTATAAGTTGCCACAGCAAAGCGATTTAGCCACGTGCCTGGCCTTCCGCAACTGGGGCTTTACAACCCGTCGAACTTCGCAATTGAGTGCCGCAGCGTGCTTTCAATTCAGTAGTTCGACCAGCAACCTCACGCCCCAAGCATACAAGCATCAGAATACCAGTTGCAGAATCTGACTTTCCAGTTTCAGAGCACAAGTTTCAAAATCCCAGTTTCTTCAGAATCCTAGTTTCAGAATCCAACCGATTAGTTTCGGAATCCGGCTCTAACCCTCACAGACTCTCCAGTCTTGAACTGCCTTCCCAGTCAAGTTCAAGTGTTTGAACATGAAACCAAGCGTTGCCGCTGGATTTAGACACAAACACCAAGCACCCGTTGTGTGAATGCTTGTGTGGAGCAGTCAGATAGAGCCAGAAGCAAACTTGAAATTGAGGTGCAAACGGGGGATGTTCTGTCAGCTGTCCGAATTCTTCATGATG